AACTCTTCGCGCGGCCTTTTGCCGCAAGCAGCATACAAGCCCTCAGCGCCGGAAGAAGCCACGGCATTGTCCTGCAAAAATACGGTGAAGTAGCTGTGAAGAATATTAATACTTGTATTGATAGTAATATGAATAGCAATAGAAATATCATGAATCAACATATGCAATAATCTTAATAACTGATGACCAGGACTTTTGGAAAGTGGAGGATCGGGTAGCCCGATAGAGCTAGCTCATTTCCCACAGGATGTCCAAAAACTCAAATCCACCATGCTGAATTCCTCGGCTGCTCCCAGGACACAAAAAAGCTGATCTGCCAAGCCTGCTCTATGCTCAACATACTCTGACCTGGTGGCAAAAAGGAATGCTGACATTTACGCCTTCTTGCGCTAGACACGTCACGAAGGAGCTGATCGCCTGTTGGAATACCTGCGGCGTGATGACTGGAACTGTAAGACATGACGTGCTGTTGAAGCATGCTGCAATCCTTTTTTTCTCGGCAGCGTTTCTGTCCATTAGCTGTCAACAAGCCACGCTGGCTTTGAAAAGTCCTTCGTTCTCAGAAAAAAACCACGGCGCAGCAGCGATCCCAGAATGCGAGGGGTTCCCTGACATCCAAAACAAATAATTCAGAGGAGAACCTCCCAAAGCAAGAAACTCAACTTATGCAGAAATATGCCCCTTTCCACGTCTTCCATTCCTGAATTCCCTACTTACCACCCTGATGCGCGTCCTGCAAATCCAGCTGTTCCAGTGCGGCATGCCCCTGGTCAGCAACAACTTGAACTATGAGTATAGTATAATATCAAATTTTAATCACAATAATAATGATAATAGTAATACTTGAAACGGAACATACACCAGGAAGAGAATAGCATGGGAGTAGAATACGTTAGTATAATAATCTGGCAACATAAAACAGCTTGAGCTGCGTGTAAATGGAATTGCCGACTTCGAAGGCTTGTTTCTTAGCATATGCATACTGCAAGAGACCAACATCAGTTGAAGAAAGGCTTTGAGCCTTTTTTTCATCGGTGGTCTTCCATTTTAAGCATTTCACGATGGATGGGATGCAGAGCCCATGGTAACAAGCTCAGACCCCTACTGGCTCTACTGACCTCCTCAGACCTTACTTCGCAGCTTTGTGGAACTCCAGATCAACCATTCTGGTTGCCAGACCATATGCCCTGAATTGCAGTCCTTAGACCCTGCTTAGTCCCAATCCACACATCGAAGCCCAAAACGCTTTCATCTACCGCATAACCCAGCTTCCAGGTCATCTTGTATGTCCTTTACCATTTAATCTTAAGTTATTGGAGTATATATTCTTGTATAAGATCTGAAACATCCTGCAGGAAGCATTTCTTGCACGTCCTAGCTTCAAGCACCTTGATGGCTCGGGCCAAGCGCTTAGCACCAGCATCGCCGATGCGGTTGTGCCTGTGTCGCAGGAATTTTATGCTGAACGCGTGAGCCATAGTCCAAACTCCAAGTATCCCCCTTAATATCCCCGATAGTACTTCCCTATATTACCCCCTTTAGGGGTTAGGACTATAGCACATATGATAAGCCCAGCACTGGAGCTGAGTTTGGGCCATGTTAAAGGCACAAAACCTAGATTTCGTAGCAATGGTTCCGAGACTACTGGTCTGGAAGCTCAAGATGTGCCCCGAGCGCAGACTGAGGGCTTGGACTTCGGATATCTTGCCCAAGCTTGCCAAACAAAGAGGGAAATCATCCGAGGAGGATGCTGTTTCGAATCCCTTGACAACCCGTATCTCTGATGTAGAAGCCCTGGGCATCAGACTCCCGGGAGCATGATCTTGCAGTTTTGCATGCAGGCTACCATACCAACATCCGGAAGTTTGGGTGGCGCGTGGCACCCTGTAAGGAGGAACCATGAGGGATCCGTACAGATAGTTCGGAATGGACTTCCGAATTCCTACAATAGTGTCACCAAATTTGAACAGCGGTAAGAGACAGGTCGCACAAGATGTGGAGAGGAAAAAGGAGGTTTCCAACCACTGCTACTAAGCAAAGAGCAGGTTATCGGGACTGTTGACTGGGGTGTGGTCGAGGTTGTTGTCGCGATTGCGAGAGGCTACGGATCCCCATCCAGTATGTTCCGTTAAGCCCCACCACAGTCGTCATCTGAGATAGAATCAGATAGAAGCACTTATGGGGTGTTCAATGGCCGCAACGTGATATCAAAATCAAACTTCCAATAGCAGAAGTGAATCAACAGGCTTTAAACCCTACGCCTGCCAAGGGCCCTGGTTATTTCAAACCACTTGACAAGTGAGGACCTCACATGTAGGCTACGCTTTTGTTGGAAACAACTTTCGGCCCAAGCCTTTGCTCGCAGTTTGGGGGAGTCCATTTTCGCAGGTTCTTCCTTTGGGCATTCTCCCACACTTTGCCAGGGTAACCAAAGCTCAATGTATGGCCCGCTTCTGCTGGGTTTTGGGTGCTGCCTACCATACCTTAACCCTATAAACCCTATAAACCCTATAAACCCTATAAACCCTGCCATGGACCTCCTAGTTCCAGGCTGCGATCCCAGTACCCAGCCTCAAGTCAATGTGCTGCAGCCGTGAGTGGTTGCGCAGGATTTTGGCCTGAGTGTGGAACAGGAACTACTGTAGTATATAGGGGTTTATATAGGGAAAATGGAAAAGAAAATGGAAACTACTAGAGTATATAGGGGTTTATATAGGGATATATAAGCTACTAGTTTATATAGGGCCATAGGGATAATGGAAAAGAAAATGGAAACTACTAGATTATATAGGGGTTTATATAGGGATAATGGACAACAAAATGGAAACTACGATATTACATAGGGGGTTTATAGGGATAATGGAACAGAAAATGGAAACTACTAGATTATATAGGGGTTTATATAGGGATAATGGACAACAAAATGGAAACTACTATAGTATATTGGGGGTTTATAGGGATCATGGAAAGGAACATGGAAACTACTATAGTATATTGGGGGCGTATAGGGATAATGGAACAGAAAATGGAAACTACTATATTATATAGGTGTCTATATAGGGATAATGGAAAAGAAAATGGAAACTACTATAGTATATTGGGGGGTTTATAGGGATAATGGAACAGAAAATGGAAACTACTGTAATATAATAGGGTTCAAGATATGGTGCTATAGGGGTTATTTAGGGATATTGCATCAGAAAATGAAAGCTGCTACATGATGGTAGGGTATATGTTGGTGGCTAAAGTAGGGAATGAGGGACTATATTATGAGCCAGCTCCTGCAGAGGTTGGCACCCTACAATTTTTGGCAACCCGATTGTTCTCCAGTTTTCATCTTCGCCTCGCTAAAAAGAATCAACTACCGCAGCTGGACGACTCAAACAGCTGGGGTGCTGGGGACAGGGCATTTTTGCAGCAAGTGGCGAGCTGCTGTCCAGGGGGCTTCGTTACGGGGAGATTCTATGAGCTGCACAGTGAGATCAAAAACCGTAGCTCTCATGTTAGCTGCTCTTCGATGACGTACACCAATCGTTGGTGGTGATCAAGTTTCTTTGACAGGTTGGTCGGCTGAATGCACACACGCACCCACCCTACAGCCAGAGTTCCAGATAATAAAGGGACCTCAGGCCCAAGCCTCCGAATAACAGCCCTGTCCCCAGAGTGCGAACACTTTTCCACGCAGCGCAGGCTGATGGCGCAGTGCTGAGGCAAAGGAGAATGTGGGCAAAGGGTCGGAAAATCCAGAAACAGGGCCTGGGTGGAGGAATTGATAAATGGGGGTTTCCCAAAGTAGGGGTACCCTTTTAGGGGTCCCCATCATAAGGACTATAGTATTTTGGGGTCTATAGTGGGGTCCCCTTATTTTGGGAAACTACCAAATGGGTCCCGCTAAGGGCAGCGTATGAGAACTACGGTTCTACCATCTGCTAATGCCCCATCTGAATGGCGAAGCTGCTATCTCTCCAAGGATATGGAAGGTTGTGAAAAAGGTCCCTTTTTGGGTACTCAATATTTGCGGGCCGTGCTGTACTGGCAACATAACAATGGACCATACATTTCACAACCCACATACACCCCCCACATACTTATACTCCTCATAAATAGGAAATGCTCAAAAGAGGATCCTCCCATTGTTGGAAAGCCCTACATAGAGGGTAGTTGAGCAAAATAGACCCCATATGTCAACCCTCGAAACAGCACCCTCAAACCCTTAACCCCCAGAGCCAAGCATCCCCATAAAGAGATCAGGGCTCCCCATCCAATCTGGCAATTTCAGAGTACTCACCTCCCCACAACACTTAACCTCTCCGCGCCCCAAACAATGAATGATATACTGATACTGTATTGGGGACTATTCATAATTCGGGGTGGGGAGGTTCAGCAAAAGGCCAAAACAAGGCCACATTGGAACTATAAGCCACCATTCGGGGATTTGGGGTAGAAGAGCCCATCTGATAAGCACTGTTCGGTGGTTGAACCAAGCTCTGTATTGAGGACTCTAGTATTCAAATTCTACTCAAACATACCTTACCTCAGTGTAAGCCAGAAGCATCTCTGAAAGCGTTGGAAACCTGCAAATACAAAGCAAGTTCTGCTTGATAGCGTAGGTGTTTGTGTTTGTCATGTCAGGCATTCCAAACGCACAGCTATAAACAATAATTGTTTAGCATACTCAGGGTATGGTGAGGACTAGCCAAAAGTGAACCTACGCACAC